ACCGTCTTCATTCACTTGCCCACAAGCAATTTCCAAAGTTGGAATAAAACATTTTGGAAACGTGTCAACGAATATAGACCTTCTGTTCTTGACTCCTGTTGAATCAGCGCAAAGCCTGCACGCCGCCATTGTTTTAATCTGTGCTGACCCCAGACGTTCACATTTATGATACAGCAACGCTGATTGGTGGCGCCAGCTTCTCGGCGCACCCAATCAAATAACTCAATTTAGCTGCAGTGAAATACAGCTTTTCCTAACACGATCACGCACGGGTTCGTGGGCCGGTTATAAATGGCCGGCTTTAGCGAAACCGTGCGATTCGGACGATGCTATTGCAAATGAAATACGCTAAAACGCCCTAGGGATGACTGGTGGTTATGTCGTGTATATAATTCAGGGGAGGTTGTTTACGCAACATGACTTGATTCAGCTGCTTCACACTGGAAACATTTCATGATTTTACACCAATGTTCAACCTACCTAGTAATGCGGCACTGAGGGCGCTATATCATTGTGATGGATACACGTAAATGAACAATCCTACATTATTGTCTACGTAATACCACACGGCATGGTCAATAACAGTCTTTAACGATACACCAATTACTAGAACGACTGATAGGAATTAAATTCTGCAGAATAGAATCAGATATCCTGACTATCTTCCATTCTCTTGAACGTTTGTCCGAAGGCTGGCTCGATACACAGTCCCTCAACGTTGAGGGACTGTGCTCGGTATAAACCTCAGATATTCGTAATACACTTCAACTTTATTGACTCTTCCCTGTGATTGTACAACGCTATAAATAATAGAAAATTCATCTTAAATCTTACATTACATTACAGAAAGAACATTTTTTTTCTTCACGTTATATTGCATACTGTGGGAAATTACACATACAACTGTATATTCACAAACTTCACTTCAATTCAAGTCAGCGTGCATCTAGATCAAACGAATTGGCGTATACGTTGTGTGTCCTACTGTAGTTAGTTTTAACCTCTCTTCAGCACTAAGACATGGATTTGTGGAGACAGACAGACAGACAGACAGGTAAAACGTTATGGTCGTCACGAAGCGCGCGTTCGAATATCACGTCAAATAAATAATATGAGTTTTACATGTTGCGTGGGACCCATATCGATCACGACGCGGTCTTGTCTTGCTAAACTATGAATTGGACAATAATTTATATCATTTGTTCAATTGTAGGGGGACCTTTGCAGTCCAGAATAAACATAACGGATATGGGGATTATGATGTCATGTGATATGACCAACGTCGACGTATTTGTGAAGTATATTCTACTATTGGCCTATTCGCCTGAAACCGGTAAACTCGTACCAGATGAAATAAATTTCGAAACCGCCGCCTTAGAGGTTACTACAGACATACTTGGCGCGTTGTCCAACTTATGTGATGTCACATTCCAACCTCCCCATGGGAAAGATACATGCCCACCCGAGGTGCCAAGTAAAGACAATCCCGACTGTGACTCCCCAACTATTGAAGTACGAGTGCCACCTAGCGACGAGAACTCCCTGACGACTAGTAGTCCACCCGAAAAGAAAGAAAATTCAACAAAAACAAAAGATAAGGACGGCAAGGTGACGTATGTTATGATTACTGAGTCATCTGACAAACTACTCGATGCATCTGCGAACACAACCAAGGTGACGCCAAACAAGGGCCGCCTAGTGTCGATTTCAAGTACATTACTCGCCCAAACGTGGGCCGTTGCTATTGGAGTATTTGCCTCTACCATTGTATTGTGCAGTTAAACGGTTGATGACTGGCGGCGGTAATAAATGGTGTACATGTATATTGTCTTCATTACGTTTGTTGAGATCTGCAAAGCAAACTACAAAGTGTTTTCTCCCCATTTTTTTTCTTGCAAACCCTATTCAAATTAAAGAGCGGAAATCGTCGCGCAACGCATGCGCGAGATATATGGGTTTCATATAAACAAAGATGGCGATTTAGACTGTTGCGCGGATCAACGAGTACAAATTGAGACGTTACCAAACTTTAATTAGGCATTTTTAGGTGATTGGAAGGTATCGAAGAAGTCGCCGGCGGTAATCAGTGCAAGCCGCGCCCAGGTCAAACCTCATACATGTGATTTCCATTTGAAGAGCGCATTGGATTGTGGGAAAATCAATGTTTATCAACACAAATTTCGCACATGCGCAGCGCAACGATTGCCGCCCTTTAACTAAAACTCGTCTCAATTGATAATAATTACATAAAAGTATTGCAATCATTTAAATCGTGTTGATCTTATTATTATGAATCAATACAGTATCTATTTTCGTCACTTTTACAAAGTAACACAACAATAAGATGACGTGGCATGAAAACGACAACCGCGGCTGGTTGTAAAGTCGTTCGTAATCTGGGACATGGTTACTAATTGTCTCAAAAACATTATTTTTATAGCCGGACCAGTTCCTGTCATATTTTACGCAACAGAAGCAGTGCGTTGCCAGCGAATGCTACTTTATACGAACGTGTATAACTTATATTACGATTTATATAACAGACAAAACAGATAACACATGTATATCAAGTGTTGGTGCTGTGAATTTGAAATAAATAGTTTGTAGCGAAATAAATTAGCTAGTGCGTGAAACCCCTCAAAGTGTCACAGACGTCTTGTTAGATAGTGGCCCAACGCAACGTGGTAAAATACATTTGGTGTTTATTTCATTGTATATAAGCATAGGTGTGAGCCAACTATTTACAATATTGTGTGAGTAATACAATAATCTAAGCTACGATTTTAGTAGTAATGTTAACTATGGAAATTCAATCATTTACTCTTCCTAACAATTTTGTTATTGTTCAATCATTTGAAAACTTCAAACAGATTGTCCAACTAGAGACGAAAAGGAGGTTCTTATTTCACCGTTATCCAATAATAGAGATTATTATACCGGCATGAGGTTA